GGTTTTTTTTTTTTATCATTATAACACTTTCCTTTTCATCGGATTTGCCTCAGTTTTAACCGTACCTCGCGTTGTTTCTCCACCTAGCTACCGTTAATGATAAAAGATGAATTTAAGCTTTAAATATCGTCCACCGTCATTCCTAGAGTTGTTCGCCGACTGATGGCCGCTACACGCAGCACATCAATCACTGAGCTTTGTTTTAATCTTTTGCTTTGTACTGGCAAATGCTGGTGTCCAGGAATATTGAATCAGTTTATGAAATTTCAGCTAGACCGGTCTGTAAAAATGCCGTGACATAGGCTCGATGTTCTGCACCGCAAGGGGGACCCCCTACAGCACAGCATTAATAAGCGCAAGTCATTCGCTGAATGATATCCTAGTGAAGTGTAAAGGTAGATTTGCCTCAACGGTGTCAACGTGACGAGCGGCCTAGGGGCATGCGCACAAACACCTAGCTCGCGCAAGTAGTTTGCATACGACAGCAGATTACGAACTTGTTAAAATGTGGAAGTTTTAAAACACTGAAGAAGTCAGTAATGCCAAAACGTCGCTGAAAAAGGCAAACTTACTTTATCTATCGTGCATATTTAAACTCAAGTGTTCGCGTCAGCACCACGCTCCAATTGGTTCGCTTTGAGCATACGCATGTACGTTATTCTTCATGGACTATCTCTTTTCTCCCGCCTGGGTTGAGCCCCAATCAATAAAGGAGAAGGGAGAGTTCAGGTATGTCTAGTCAGCAGCCTCGCGCTTTGCCTCAATTGGAAGTGTTGTACCACTCAAGCAGGCCATTTTGAAACGACGTATTTCTTTCTCTATGTCGTTATATTATGTCGTAAATTCAGGTTGGCAGTGAGTGTTCTGTAAAATAACTGCATTGACAGGTCATCCTAACATTGCATAAAATTATTTTAGAATTGAGCGCGAAACCGAAGGATTCGAAGAAACAGTCCTTCGAAGATAAACTCTCTTAATTTAATTTGTGGAATTTAATTCAACATGCAGTTACGCACAACAAGGGTTGACTTGAAAGGTTTTACATCACAAATATACCGAAATCATTATTTTTTTGATCGAAAAGAAATTAAGATTAAGAGACGTTATCTAAAGAAGATAGTTTCGTTGGCACATCCATGCATTATAAAAAGCGAACCTTGGCAGTTCGACTTACAACATATTTTTACTTCCTTTAGTGAACTTGATCATTGATGTCTCTTTAATATAACTATGTAATTTAAAGTAAGTTCCGTAAGCTTGGAATCAAAAATCAACTAGGACAGTTAAAATCAAACTTAATCAGTTTCTCCGCTTCAGTGCCTTTTTAATTTAATTTACCTTATTTTCCAAGAAAAAATACATCAACGCCTTAACTATTTCACTGAAATATCTACGAACAAGTTTCATGGCTAATGTATTTTTTAGTGTCCCTAGTGCAAAAGAAAAAGAAACTTAAAGTTCAGCTTATGCATGGCAGAAGCAATGCCGATTGTGGTAAATGTCACATTGCTGTTTGAGCGAGAGTTCCTCAGACAAAATGCATCTTAATTATGCCGAGATGCTCTGTTGATTTGGAACTTAATCACGTGGTTATTTCAACTAACGTTTCTCCTTTGGGATCATTGCTGTTGCTCGTCTTCTTCCATCTTCTCTTAAAAGCCTCGCTGAAGTCTTTTTTCAGAAACGCGTAAATCAGCGGATCCATAATGGTATTGAAAAGCAATGTGTAAAAAGAGGCGTAAAGCACCGGCGCTGTGATGAGCTCAAGCTGGTCAAATATTTCGCAAATGTTGATATAAATGAGTGGCATCCAAGAGAGAAGAAACATCCCGAATATCATGGCAAATACGACGACTGCCTTGTCTTCATTGCCCGCGCGTTCCCCGGTCCTGTTCCCCCAAGTTGAACGCCTGCGGTTTCGCAAAATGAAGCGACGGACCACACGAAGTAATCGCACGTAAATCCAAATCATGGCCAAACAGGGAAGCAGGACGAAACCAAACACGGTAATGAACATGTAAACTCTGTGATATTTCGTCGTTGGATCCGCGTTCCAAGCCAGTGGAAGTATCGAGATGCAAAACGGTACAGCCCAACATAGAGAAATAATCACCGCTACTCTGGTGGAGTTCATGGTGATGCGGTAACCGAGCGGTCTCGTTAAGGCAACATATCTCTCGTATGTGACAGCGCCAATGTTAAAGATCGACGCCAAGAGAAGAAAGGCGATCAGATATCCAGTGATTGGCACATGCGATTGCGAAAAGTTCTCGTAAATGTAGATTGGGATGAGGGCAGCCGCAACGAGAAGATCGGCCACCGAGAGCGACACGACGAATGCGTTGGTAATCGTCCACAGTCGCTTCTCGACCATGACTATCAAGCAGACGACGATGTTGAGTATAGTGGATATAAAACCCAGTACAGCCCATGTTATTGAAAGCGGGATTAGAACAGTGGCGTTAACTGGTGGTTGGCCTTCGCTACCAGGGACAAATGAAGTCGACGTGTTGTTCGCTAGCTGCATCACTGAATTATTGTGATTCCCCAGTTAAATGACTGAGCTTTGTGTCAGCTGTGTTTTTTCTTTAATGTGCTCGGTGTTTTGTTATTTTTAGCAATCGAGGGTGGATAAACAGGAGTTGGCAGCTGTTCACCACGTTCAGCCAATATTGGCAGATTCTTATTCCTAACGTTTGTTCCCCACTTTAGTGTGGCAGAGTTAGAGAAACTTCAATCAGCTAAACTTGCAGTCTTTGAGCCATGTGAAGAATCACTTGTAGCCTGGTCTCCAATTACGGTTTTTTCATCGATCTGTCAAAAAATAGATGTTTGGACAACAAGTTAATGAAATAAGTTTTTTGAAGCTGACACTTTCTAAAGAAAGAGCTAAACTAAATCAATATTTAATGGAGGAACTGCTCGAAAAATGAAAATTAATACCTCTCTGGCGATAATTCGTGGTGTGAACCTAGTTATTCTTAGGGGATTGAAGTAAAACTAATCCTTATACCTTTTTAAACAACTTAATTCCAAGTAGAGCTTGATTCGCGGGCCATTGTACTTGAATCTGTGATCGACTTCTTTATGATAACTTTTTCATGCAAATTGAAATTCAATTAACACAGGCGCAAGCAAATGTAAAATACTTTTTGGCAAGCCGTGCCCACCAATTATTTACTCCTTCGTTTCTTTTCTGCAAAAAGCTATTTTAATTTTTCACCAGAGGTGATCAGAGAGTGGTTTTGTTTTAAGCATTAAGCCGTGCGACGCACGGTAATTAAAAATGGAGGGCTGGTGTGGTTTAGAGTGAAACGTCATTGTTCCCCTCTTGGTGGGGTTGCTCGGGGCCAGATGACAGTTGTTTTGAATATTTCTTGCTATTTCAAAACAATTCCCGTGTTTGAGTGAGAAATTTGGTTTTAACACTGACTCTGTCAGACGTCGATTTCTCAGCTAAAAAGTGCTATCCAGTAACTGTAAGTAACAAACCGTTCAAAGTTAAGGCCTTTGCCTTTTGTCGTTGATAAATCTGGGTAGTAACGTAGTTTGTTACAAAGATTTATCCCAGTCCTTGTTTATGGCTTTGTTATATATACCAGACAATAGATTTTTCTTGAACTCATTCATTTGTACTTGAAAAACAGTCTTGTCTTTTATACTTGCGCGAGATTGCATTCTTCACAGGAAGGTCAAGTTTGCCTGGAAATCTAGGAGGTCTGAACTATATGGTGATGAAGACAAGGGTTATTTATAATGTATATGTCTTTTTTTAGGTAGGTTTTTATCACATTTTTTGACATCTCAGTGTTTTGCAAGCGACCTAATCTAAAGGCATGGAATTTAAACTTACCAAGAATCAGTCACTGTTGCTCGTTGGATTGAAATGATCCATTCGTTAAATGAGACCGTATTTATTTTTCCACAACTGAACACATGTCACAACCTTCTCTTCATATTTACATAGTTATTTTTCGACTAATTAGTGTTTGCTGCCTGTCTGAATGAAAAATAAAAACTTCTGTGACTTTCAGGTGCTGGATTTAACGTACGTTAAACTCAAACCTTGTGCTAAAGACGGCCCGAGTACTTTTAGCGCAATTGCTCTCCCACATTTTGATGATGCGCTTATTGATATCTGTCCAACGTTATCGAAATTTACAAGTTAAAAAAAAAAAATAGGTCAAACGTTATCGAGAATAAAAGCTAAAAAACTGAGAACGAGCGAATGGCTAATGTCTGCACAAATCATGGCTGCAAAATCAAATGCAATTCCTTTTTTTTACAAGAACCTCCCTTAGAGGAACGTTGAAGCTAAAAAGCCCAACATATAAAAGACATACTAGGAGCCCATAACTAACATTTGGGCAAGAGCTACTTCCGTTGTTTTTCATTTGTTTTCAGAAATGACTCATACATGGCGTGACATAATGAATTCACCTTTCTTCACAAGACTGATTCTTTGCCATGATTAGGCCAGTGACAGGGCGTGACGCAAAATTTAGCTGTCTACTGTCAAACAAGGTAACCCTCATGATCAACAGTCAACCATGAATGGCTATCTATCAGCAGAGGGTCTATTGTGCATCACAGCTGCTATATTTTGAAATTGTCTAGCTGGGCAAAATTAAGTAACTAACTAATCCATATTCAACACTATAGAACTTAAAGGTTTGATTTCTTGATAAGCTTTTGAAATATTCTTCAGTCTTCTTGAATTTAGTTTTTTTGCTGGTTCATCGCAAATTCAGCAGTGAAAGCTAGGCTGACTCGCTCCAAAATGCATTCCAGTAATAACGGAATCAAACATTTTTCTTAATAACTGCCAAACGTTAATTGGGCTGAGACCGTCCATTGTCAAAAAGCGATGGTTTTAACCGTGCAAATTAGCAAAGCCCAGGATGTTAAATCAGTCTGCAACTGACTAAAATCTACCAGGATTTAATCATACCATATTAAAGGTGATGAACACATTGAGCCCGGCGTCTTCAACATATAAACATATTATTGAGCTAGACTAAACATGGGGGAACTTACGGACTCAGTCAAAGGCGAGGTCAATAAATGTACAAAAGAGATAGAGGAAGATCAACTATGGAGTTGTCTCATGTTGTTTCCATGGATACAGAGGAAATCCAATCCTACAAACTGGCAAGAAAATGTCGACCACATTCATGCATTTTCAAGTTAAAGCCAAACAATTATAGATATATCAAGAAAGTTTCCTGTGTGTCGATCTTTCAAAAAGCAAATCGGAGCAACTAGTTATTTAGCGGCGCTTCTTAGTGGAGCGCTCAGGGAACCAGTCACAAAGCGTATCTTCATCATGGACTACTAAACCATGCAACACTGTGTAAACATGGTAAATGACAATCATCAAAGAGCAATATTTTAACTTGACATCCGTGTACATGAAATATTTTATGTAATGTAAATGAGCGCGCTTTACCTGAGCAGAGATTCGCTCACTGAAAGGGTCTATTTATTCAAGAGCACAGTATTTGCTTAGCTGGTTAAGCTCAGCAAACACTAAGACAAAAAGAACCTCATAGTGGAATTCAATTCTATCACGAAATTAAAGAGAAAGCATAAACACCGATGTGAAATGACCTTCTTTTAGATAGCGTACCGTTAAAGTACTACACCTAAGCCTGAATCGAAACCCATGCAACGGTTCATATTAAAATACAAATCTCTGACAATAATTATTTAGTGCTGCAATAGAGCGGATTTCAGTTGAATGTCGTGAACACAAAACTCACCGATCGCGTTGGCCAGCTAACATATAATATGCATGCAGCCATGGTAAAAAAAAGTTCAACACAAGTAACAAAATCGCCACTGGTTGTGATTACGGCTGCTCGACATTTTGAGTAATTGGCTGATTGTTTTATTTTATTTTATTTTTTCTGAAAAGATTTCAACCATTGAGCTCCGTCGAAAGCAAGCTAGTATTACTTTGGTTAAGCTTAACTGCGCTCTGTGATTGGCCAAAAATACTCCCGCCAGATGCTCAACCAATCAGATTCAAACCGAAGCCAACCTTCGGAGCGGAAAAACGTACCGCGCAGCTTTCTGCGCATCCCTAGTACTACTTGCTGCATTCTCGTCCCGAGAGGATGCGCTCCTTTTGGTCAGCACCAAGAATCGCGGCCTCTGGGCTGGTCCAACACCAGAAATCCGCGATTCGCGGACTTTCTATCAAATCTGGCAAATCTGATTGGCTGAGAATACGAAACGAATACTCTGCGCATGCTCAGCAAATCGGGTCCGGCCGGTCCGGCCAGAGGTCGCGATTCTTGGTGCTGACCAACAGGAGCGCGGCCTCTGGGAACGAGAATGTACTTGCAGGCTCAGGTAATAATGCAGGCTGCAAATTAAATCCTGTAATTGGTGGAAGGAACGACGGACTGTAATAAGATACGTTAGGATGTCGCTCAGCTGATTTATTTAATTATACTTGGGCCTGAAGCATGAATTTTTTTGGCACTTCACTATTAAGAAAACAAGGGTCCCCCTGCCTGCTGAGAGGCTCTGTTGCTTATATATTCAGTGGAGTGTTTACATAGATGCAATATGTAAAGAGGTTTTGTGGAAAAAAATGTGTTCGCATCGAAATAAATAAAGTATACCGCGGAGAAATAAAAGGTTTGGAAACCTTCTTTAGGTTGACTTTGTCCGAAAAAACTGATTCCCCACGAAAACTATACACCAGCTTTCCATTAGTGACGTGAAAATAACGTTTCTTGCCGAGAAAATTCGGTGAAAGCACGTTAAAATGTCGTAACTTTTTGCTTACACGATTTACCGCCAATTCTTTTAAACTTTGAGCTTGGTACGCGGCCAAAACTCGCGCAGGCTTATAACGTTTTTCCACTCTGAAAAGTCAGTCACGACTTTGTCGTGCTCTTTTTCCTGCGCTTGGCGCCAGATACGCTAGATATCTCATTGGTTCATCTTGTCATTTGCGTTTCTAGTGACTAGACTAACTGAGATAGGTTCGTATTAATAGGACTCTAATCAACACGCAATGACACTAAGTGAACTTATGTCGGCATAATCAAAGCACTTCTGCAGATTAGTTATCGTAAGACACTCAAGTAAAAATCGCTTTCTAATTTGTAATTAACGAATTTTTTTTATTCTGCTTCAAAAAAGAACGTTTGTCAACTAGAATGCTCGGTTTTTACATAGCAGAATAAACCTTCGGAACAAAAGTTTTACGAAATTTATTGATTGCTCTTTTCGGACATAACAAGTCTTTCTTGTTTCGACTAGAAACACGATATTCACATAGCATTCCTTACCCGATGACAACCCAATAAGTTCTCAGCTGAAACTGAACTGTCTGGTTTTCTGATAACGCTTGAATGTGAAGGTCAAAACTAATATTTGCTGAAGACGATCTTTCGATGGAAACAAGAAAAAAAGTTTCCATTGTTCCCTAATTTTTGAGCAAAAGCTGTTCCGACGAATGTTCTCAGATTCTTCGCAATACTTACGTGGCATTCTGTGTATCAAGAAATGGCTTCATCGACTCTTGTTGAC